TGAGATATACTGTCTTCAGATAAAATATTTTTTCTTATTGTGCAATTGTATAATGACATGCTATTGAAATGTCCTAAGGAAGGATCTAAGCCTGAGAAGGGTACTATAAATGTTGACATTTATAGTTTCCATGTCAGACATTTAGATGCAGGATATTTTAAATGGCTGCCCTTCCCCACCAAAAAAGCAGATTAGGTAAAAAGGGTCAACCCTTTAAATAGGGGGAAACTTCTTATCTCCAGTTGATTTTTATATTTCAGACCCCACCTATCAGCACTGAGGCCAAGGAAAATTTAAAGAGCCAAATAACTGCTTTTCAAACCATGAGAGCTATGACTATTAAAATGTCACTGTGACTCAGACTATCTGTGATTCTTTGAAACAAGATCTATTTCAAATATAATCATCTGACATCCCAGTTCAGCTGTATGACATAAGCTTTTTTTTAACCCCCTGTCTGTATCAGCTGGCACCCAGAGGTCTGAATTCAATTCCCTGGTCTGTAAGGGGCTAGAGAGGTGATTCAACCTCTCTCGAAAAAGGCAGTAATCCTAGAACAACAAGGAATTCCTCAAGGAGTTTGTTGTTTAATAAGGGGAAGGAGACGAACCCCATGGAGACTTATCCTGTTAACAGATGCTGCAGCAGAAATGCAGGTGCACTGTTCCTGGAGACAGAGCAGGAAGCATGCATTCCTTTCTGTGAAGGGAGAGATGTAGGTCCCACTGAGGAGGTGATATTTGGTGTGGACTCTAAGAGACGAAGAGAAATCCACAGGCAGGAGTCGGGTGAGGAGGAGAGCATCGTGACTCAAAGCTCAGAGCCAGGAACGCTAGGGCTTCAAAGAACAGCAGGTGTTGGGTGAAGCTGCAGATAGACCAGGTGAGGGTGTCTCCTCAGCTGTCTGCAGACCCTATTACATGTCAGTTTGTTCTTATCAATGTATTGGTTATTTTACTTGAAGCCCAATGTGATTTGATGTTTGTTCTTTTAAAAAGTTTTTATGAAAATAAATTAATAACCTAAATAAACTCCATTGTCAGAATATGACCTAGCTTGTGGTCCAGAAAACAAGTGTATCAGGTCCATGAGGGAGTTAATGGGTGGGTTAGGGTCTCAGACATTGGAGTAAAAGGTTTTCTGAGGGGAGGAGGGATAAAATCTGAGCTTAGAAAGATGAATCTTGATGCAGTATGCAGGATGTATGGGGAAAGAAAGAGAGGGTCTCTTTGCAAATTACTTAAGCTAAAGTGAGGAGCTAATAGAATGGCTGTGGCTAAGATGAACTGCTCACACAGGGCTTCATAAGTAATTCACGGTGTTTTACATTTTGTGAATATCACAGTCTGGGGAATCTGACTCGAGAAAAGGGATGTATTATAGGATTTTTAAAAATGGCATTTTTTAATTAAGGTTTCCTCGGTCCAGTATTAAAATTAGACTTTATTTTCTGAGCACACACAAACGGACCTGGCAAAGGGAAGACACAGATGTGCTGCATGATGGGGGAAGCCAGTCAGGACGAAAATACTGCTGTGAGTGACTGTGGTCCTTCTTATACTTAAAATAACTGCCTTTGTTGTTATTAACACTTATGACAGGTGTGTCAAAACCTTCTGAAATAATTTACTTACCCAGATTTCACCACTCATTTAAAAGAAAGATTTCATTATTCTGCTAAAAGCAATTGTGAACATTTTCTAAGAATCTTTTATACCAAAAAGGGATATGTTACTCTAAGACAGACATTTAAAAAATTTACATGTTTTTGAATATTTTTGTACTGGAGTTGTCAAGTGATTACATTAGTTCTTTTTCTGCATCTTAATATATCTGATGTTTCCTTGAACTGAAACATGCTATTGAGCTTTCCGAATTTGTAAATTATTGATGAGCTGATTGCGGATTTAAAAAAAAAAAAAGCAGGCTCTTCCAAGGATTTCAATCAGTCCTAGAAAAAACTATGAAATGGCTGGCATTTCTTTCTGGATCTGTATCCTTATATTCCTTTATAACCACCCGATCTTATCATCTCTACCCAACATTCCCATCCCTACCCAGACCTCTCCTGCTGGGCCATCTGCTCATAGCACCCCAGGTCCGCTCCACCTCCCAAGTTCTCTCTAGCAGCCCCTCGGTCCCAGCGATTTCTAGCTTCAATCCTCTTTCTACCTACACATTTTCCCCTCCTTCAAAGTGGAATAGTTTTCATAGGCAAGTCCCCACTAATGTGTTAATGTGCTAACTTCTCCTTGGTAAAATACTCAATTTAATAGCCTTTAATGATTAGACCAAACGAAGTTATTTTAGTAGGACCTTGAGCACCGCGGTATGCTGGGAGAGGAGAGGCTTACAACTTATAAAGAGCTGTAGAGTTTTCAAAACATGTAATCAGGCTGCAAAGAGAGTTATCCATATCTTTGCATCTGCCTTTTAATCAGCATAAGGTGGAAAAACTGCAAATTAAAACTGATTTTTAAATCATTCTAATCTGAATCAGATGAGTAGGTTATTTACTAGAGCTTCTAGGATTAGTTACCCTTTACCAAATAATGGTGTACCAGCTCTAAAACCTGAGTCATGGGAGAAGCCTAGGAGGTATGAGATGTTGAGCTAGGAGAAAAAGGGCTTGGCGTTTGCCTTGTTTGAAGGACAAGACTGAGGAAGACTGACCCTAGGTGTCAAGATGTCTCTTATCAAGTGGAGGCCAGGGATGGAAAGGGAAGGATTGAACAAGGTATTGTTACACTAGTCAGCCAGCCTGTGGTTAGGGAGTAGTTATCACAGGCTCAAAGCGTCCTATATCCAGTTCTTCACTGTTCTCATCGACCTCTTCAAATTCAGAAATCTTCATGTTGTACGTTTACACAATTAATGATCTTTACTTTTCCTATATTTCCTTTTTGGGTTATACAGCATTTTCATAAAGAACTTTCTGAAAATGTATGTCTGTCTCAGATATGTTGAGAATAGACAAAGAAAAGGATCCTGGCCTCATTTGAGCTGGAGGGAAAATGGACATAGAATAGGATTCCAGTAAGCAGCGGGGTGGGGCAAGGATCGAAGTGTGGGGATCCTGAGTAGGACATAAAATGACGAGGGAACATGGCAGGGATGGCTCAGGCATCTATTCCTCTGGCACCACATGGTTTTCTTTTGGCCCAGCCCTTGGAGAATTTTAGGTTTCATATGATTAAGCCTGGTTTGCATATTTTGGGTGAGTACAGAGAGCCCGAGTAGGACACACTCAGGAGAGCTGCACTGGAAGCTCCAGCCACCCTTTTCCTGTCCCCTCCCCTTGGCACCAGTTGCCTATCTGGACTTAACACCCAAGCAAACCAAAACCAAACCCAGTCCGTGAGCATCTTCTATATTCCTAAGGAGCTTATTTAAAAAAATAAATAAATACTGTCAAATTGTATCCCAATCTTACTTCAAAATAAAAATGTATCATAAACGAATCCATTGCAAATTTCCCAGCTTTTTAAAAAAAAATCAGAGTCATGAACTGCAAAATATTCTTTCCCCCCAAACTGGTAACTTCCCCCCTCCAGATACTGCTTGTCATTCCCTTTATAAACTGTTTTTAAAACTGTGATTTTATAAACTTTGACGTGTCAACATACATGCAAACTGTCGTTATGATTACTAATGTCATACTTCAATGCAATGATTGTAAGTTACCTGAAGAAATATTGTATTAAGGCTTTAGGTAATAATTTCTACTTTTATTTGGTTGCTTTATTTTCATAGAGTATAATTCTTTTGAACTCATGTTATTTCCATACCTGACGGCTCTGTTATGTAATTTTTCTCATAAACAGATTTATAAATAAATGTCATATAATTTTCTAGATAGTAACGTATAATATAGATACTCTTCTTTACAAAATTTATTTAAATATCTGAAGCTTTTGATAGCTTTTGTGAATACTTCAATTCGACAAACAGTAGCATCCACATGCCTTCATTTTTCCTACCAGTAAAATGGAAATAGTGATAACTCATCTTTTTCCTTCTCCTTCTCTCTATCAAATGATCTTAAACAGTAGGAAGCCGCTGTAAGGTTTTTTAAAAATTCAGTCAGTCGATTTTTTTTCCGTAGCTCAGTTCTCTAGGTGCCTCTCAGGGTCAAGTATTGAACCTGGTCTTTGTTTTCTGCAGAAAAAAGAAAAAGCAGCACGAGTGTGATGGTTTGGACGTCTGAAACGCCTCCCTTCTCTCTTGGCTCAAGCAACAGAAAGCAAAAGAGAAGCATCGTGGTTCTCTTAGTCATGTTTTAAGTGAAATAACACTTGGTTTTTCTTCTCTGTATACTTTTCAAAGAGTTTTCACAGACATTCGTCCTCATTATAACAATGTAACACAAGCACTTCTACTTCCGTTTTAACAGTTTAGTGACCTCTCAGATCCCATACTCATTTAGCAGTAAAATGGAAGCCAGAGGCTAGAGCCCAGAACTCCATGCTTCCTGAGAGAGTTTCTGTATTAATCACCTTTTCTAGCCTCAGTTTCTTCGACTGGGGCTATAGAGGTCACTACTTTCATAGAGCTTATAGTAGGGTAGCTACTATATGTTGAGTTTAGCCACAGTCCTTACATATAGCTCGTGTTCAATCAGTGGTATCATTACAGGAATGTTGTGAAAGTGATATTATTGGAGAGAATCTAAAAGAGACTTGGCAGGGGAGGCTAGGTTCGGGTGTCAAGTTGGCGGGCACGCCTTGAGGTCAACATTACCTTGAACATTTCTCATTTTCTGTACTCTGGTTGCTTTCTCCTCCCATCCCTCCTGGCCTCAGGTGGCTGCTCTGAGGACAACTTGGTAATTTTATGCAAGAGTAAAATATACCTCCCTGTAATTATACAGAATTAGGCATTTCTGGCGAAACAGTTTAGAGATTCTTTCTTCTCTCTGAAAAACAAGACTGTGAACCTAGAAATAAAGTCACTCTCTTATTAGTTATTTCCTTTCCTTCTTTTTCTTCTTGCAGATAACTCAGCCTTTCCAAGGTGCAGCCACCATGCTCTTGGCAGACTGATGATGGAAGAAAAGGAAACTGGGAGATCCTGTGTTCTGGTTTCCCTGGACGATGGATGGAGGACAGCCCGTCCCTTCACCCCTAGCGCCCCTTGGGAACACATTGTCAGATTCTAGCATGTCTCTGGAGCAGAAAACCACATTTGTTTTTGTGATTTTGTTGTTTATTTTCCTGGGGATTCTCATCGTCAGGTGCTTCCGGATTCTTCTGGACCCATATCGGAGCATGCCGACCTCGACCTGGGCTGATGGACTTGAAGGCCTGGAGAAAGGGCAGTTTGACCATGCCCTTGCTTAGCAGGACAGAGACAGGATCCCCTCCTGAGGAGGTGAAGTGCTGCATGTCTTGGCCAAGAATTACCTGTAGTCAATGTTAACAACAAATAAAGTTTTAACGATACCTTCTCCTAAGACTATAGTCCATTATTCAGTAGACATGCTGCTGGGTTAAAAACATCTGAAGATATTGGAAATGGAGACTTATATTACTAACCCAAAATAGGAAAGTTAAAATTTCTACATTTTCTCAGTGAATGAAGATTGTTGAATGTGGATGATGGCGAAACCAAGAACATCAATACTGATATAAACTTTGCCATAAAATGAAGCAGTATCCGACCTGACCAGAGAATAAAGACTAGAAAGGATCTGATCTGAATCTGGTGACAGGGCCAAGAAGAGACTTCCTTGCTCTAATCGTGTCCCTCAGTTTGTTTTCTTTTCATGGGAATCTGAGTCCCAGGCAGAGAGTGAGGAACATTGTGCTGAGTGGATCCAAAGCAGGTACTTGTTTTTGCATAAGGCAAGGAGCATTGGGAGGCCGGGGGAGGACTTAAAAGACATGGTTACATCCCTGGGAAAATATGAGTGAGGATGATATTTTACTGAATTCAAAGGCTTATGGAGATTTTAAAACTATTTGCCAGGTTAAGTACATTCTACGTATTCATATTAATAATGTGTAGAAGTAACTATACATTACTTGAAATTACTTTCTTTTCATAAACAATTGAAATGAAAGGTTGCAAGTGCAGTTTCAAGTTGTTTTTAAATGAAAGTTAATTGTTTAGAGAAGACTTTTACAGTCTCAAGAGAACTGTGTATTTATGACTGAATATAGAAACCAAATAAAAGTTTTTGAGAAACAAAGTGTCTCCTCTTTTATTTCTCCAAGACTAAATGTACTGGAGGCAGTGTGTTATACTGAATGCTGAGTGTTCAAGAGAGAGAGAAAAGAGAGAGAAAAACTGAAAAGTCATCTAATTCATCCCTCTCCCATTTCAGGAAGGCCTTCTACAAATTGTCCTGCTCACATAAAACCTACTCTAAGCACTATTTAAGTCCACCCAAAAGAGAGATGTGAAAACCTCTTATTCCAACTTCTGTCGGTAGGAAAACCTTATATCCAACCTAAACCCCTCAGGCTGTATTTATAGTCTATGTCTTTTTCTCCATGGCTAGCCATAATTTTTTTTTTTTTTTAATTAAAAGGCAGCCCTTAGTAAAACCGCTTTCTTGTCTCTTATTTTTTAAAAAACATTTCTTGGGAGTCTTGCTGCCCATATTGCTCCCTCCCCACATTGCTCTCGATTTCTTCCCCTTTACTTAAAAACAAACAAACAAACAAAAAAACTTTATTGAAATATAATTTACATACCATAAAATTTACCATTTAAAAATATACAATTCAGTGATTTTTAGTATATTCACAGAATTATGTGACCATCACCACTATCTAATTCCAGAATTCTATACCCACCAGCAGTCACTTCCCATTCCCCTTCCTCTCAGCCCCTGGCAATCTCTAATCCACTTTCTGTCTCTATAGATTTGCCAATTCTGGACATTTCATATAAATGAAATTATAAGATATGTGACATTTTATGTCTGGCTTCTTTTACTAACATGTTTTCAAGACAAGTTCATCCTCATTGTAGCATGATTAGCACTTCATATCTTTGTATGGCCAAATAATATTCCATTGTTTGGCTATACCACATTTTTTTTTTTTATCTGTCAGCTTTCATAGTTATCCACTGGCTAGTAAAAGAATGCTTCTGTGAGCATTTTGTGTACAAGTTTTTGTATAGGTATGTGTTTTCGATTTGCTTGGGTATACTCTTAGAATTGGATTTCCTGGGTAACATGCTAACTCTATGTCTAATTTTTTGAATAACCATGAGGTTATTTCTCAAAGAGGCTGCATCATTTTACATTCTCACCAGGAATGTATGAGGTTTTGATTCTTAACTCTGTCCAACTACTCAAATTTCTTCTTTAGTTGTAGAATTTATAATTGAACATGGCACTTCAAGAATAAGTCAGATTTAAAAGAGTTAATTGCCTTGTGGTTTCTACAAGCTACAAGTTTATTGATGCTTTCAGAGGTCCTTTGCTGCTAGGTCTAAAGCAATACATGGACGCTGACCTGTGGTCATCTTGTGGTCTATTAAGTGACCTGAGTATTTTTTCATTCTTACTAATACATGATTCTTTAATCCACTAATTATAAAATTTTCTTTTTTCTTCAAATGCACCATGCCATGTAGGTCCTTATTAATTTTTTTCTTATTTTATTGGGAGTATAATCAAGCCCATTCAGGTATTAACTGAGCACCTGCTTTGAGCCTGGCGTTTCTAGCGCTGGAGAGACAGGGACAGTACAGGCCTAGTTCTTGCTCTTGAGTACATTTCTACCCTGTTGGAAAGCTAAGTAATGAAATAAGAAATGTGTCCGAATCATTGTTGAAATGACTGATATGGACCTATGGTTCTCACACTACCAGAATCATCTGGGAACTGTACATATCTTCACACATTACTTTTTATCATACGAATTTGTCATGGTCATGGTAAAAATGTATAAACAATGTTTTTTCTGGGGAGTTTGTTGAAAATGTAGATTACTACATTCCTTCCATTCCTTCCATTCCTAGAGGTTGATTCTGTAGAGTTAGATCAGTGAGCAAATGCTCTAGGAGGAGATGGAATATGGGAGAGGTTGGTGTGGGTCAAGAAAGTCAAGAAAATAGCTCAGGAGGCAATGGCTCAGGTGTGATGGTGCATGTTTAAGTGCTTGGTATAAAGCTTTATGCAATGTAAGTTATTATTATGAAATAAATTATACCTCGACCTAGGAGGTGGAGGTGTTTTAGACATATGCAAAGGAAGAGAGGAGGTAAAACCAAAGAATAAAGAAAAGGAGGTGTAGGTGTGGGGCTTATAGCTAGGAGAGCAGTTTAGCTGGAGAATGTGCTTGGAGGAGTAGCTGGAGCTTGCATAGGAAACATAAAGGATCTGAACTTCAGAGGGTTCTGCAAGATGAAGTATGAGAGTCACTGTAGATTCATGAGAAAGAATATGACACGAAGAGTGGTTGTCAAGTCCAGTTTCCACTCGCTTCCTCAGGGCTGAACTAGAATCTACATCCATCTATAACGGGAACCGACCAAAATAGCCACCTGCCCTCTATGAGGCCTTTGAGCACAGGATTGCCAGTAAGTGGCACAGGGCTTCCCAGAGCCTGCTCCTCTTTCTTTCCTCCCTTTATTCTCCACTCTATTTTTGTTTTTTCCTGCTCAGATTACTGCTCCTTGTTCAACCCCCCTCACCGGGTCTCCCCTACCCTCCCTTGCCCAGAGCAAGAGCACCATACCAAGTGATAAAAAGCTGTGGGCTGTTTGGAGTAAATTGATCCCTCCTTAGAGAAGAACTAACTCTCTGTTTTAATTACTCTTGGCTCCTTGGGGTGAACAGCATATTCCTGAAAGGTCACATAAGCCCTCTCTTTCCTGGCTTTCTGGCTACAGGAGTTACAGTGCAGCATTTTGCCTACTTTACAAGATATTTATAATGAGTGCAGCTGCCCTCTATCTTGTTTATCTGCATCCCAGGATGAAAAAATTACTTTCCCAAGGTCACTCTAGAATAGAGATGCCTTTTGATTTTTAAAAAAAAAAAAATGTGGCAAACTCATTCTCAGTCTGAGTTCTGATTGGTTTAAGCCCTCAAGATATCCCAAGTTCTAGATCAAAATTGCTCCCTCCAAGAGACCTTTCTAAAGTATCTTAAACACTGAGTAAAGTAAATCTACGTGTGGGTATGAAGGAGATTAACTTGACTCCTGCTGTTAAACTAATGAACATTCCAACCCAGATCATCCTTTTACTATTTTTAAGGGTTAAAGCTGAAACAAAATAAGCAACAGTTTTAGGAGGCAGAAGTTAGAGCAGATGCTTATATGTATAGAAAAAAAATATGTATTAAAATTCCTTTTTTTTAATTGGATTCATTACACAGTGTTTTACTGAAATACTAAAGCTTTTGTACTGTAATTATATTGATAAATTTTGTACACTGTCAAAGCTGTATATAGTCATGGTAAGATGTATAAACGGTATGGAATCATTTAATAAATCATTCAAAATCATAAGTAATTTTTTTAAACCCTGTAGTTTTGACAGGATGTCAATTTTTAGAATTGACATCTAAAACTTATTGAAACAATTATTTTCAAAAAATATTTTAAGCCTCAAAATACTGAATAAATTCTGAGATATGATTTGTGACATCTGAGATGTGTGCCTTCTGAGATAAATTATGCCAGAGGGGTATTTCAATTATTACTTAATCACAGCGTTTGTAGAGTAAAGCCATAATCTCCAGAAAAAGTGCTTAAATCACTATATGTGCACATGCAATCTGGGATCAAACCGACCCAGACCAGTAGAGGTTATCTGTTTTGAGATGCAAAAGAAGGGCCCTCTAAAGTTTGTATCTCTTATTTCTTAAAAGAATAAAGGAATCGTTTTCAGACAGATGTCTACCTGTTCAGGAGCAAGGCCTCCTCATCCTACAGCTTCCTCTACAGCATGATGAGCCAGGGATCAACACTTCAGCCAGTCTGGGGCCCTTTCCAAGGTCATTTTTTAAAAATAGGATTCCCTGCAGTATTTAGCAAAGAGTGAAATTTTTGTTTTCAGATTCCTGCCATAAACTACACTCATGTCTCATTCCAAAGCACCATAAGATACTCTTATATCCCTCCATCCCATAGCCTATCCAATATCCTGATTGATGTTTCTGTGTTTTAAGATGAGAAATTCCCTTTAAACCATCTTTCAAAGGGGATTTCCACCTTTATTTTCTTCTAGGCCTTATTACCTACCATCCCCAGAGCTCCAAATTTATTCCAGCTTTTAAGAAGAATTCTCTGCAGTTTGGAAAGATGGAGAGAAACATTGCTGTCATCTATTTCAATCCTCTCGCTTCTTTACATGTAAAGAAATAGAGGCCAAGTTGGCCACAGTCATGTTGCCACCCATTGGTTATAGTTGTATCATCTTACAT